GTAGTGGGTTATAAATATATAGTATGTCTACACTATAGTACTCTACAGCTAAGGGAACCCCTGCCCCGGTACCACCGCCGGTGTCAGCAGAGAGCGACTTTGAGCCTAGCTAGGCCCCAGGGACAGTTGCAACGGTAAGCCTAATTAGGCTCATAGTCTGGGATGTCTAGGTGAATAGAACGTGCAATCCTCCCAACAAAATGATGCCGCGGAAATCACCGGTATACCCAAAATGGAAGGTAGTGGCCATTTGCGCAGTAACTTCAGGGTGCAGGGCACAGTACTCCGTAGCAGAAGCTGTTAAGTAATATGGAGGCTTTGAGTCACGAGTCGCAATTTCGTTTAAGTCAGACTTTGATTAGCAAAAAGTGAAGTTCAAGGCATTGATGGTTTCCGCACGGGCATAATGCTAGTTAGGGTATGGTGGACTTGGAATATTTACGACTTACGATTCGTAATGGCGTGGTTGAAAACGAGAGGCCGGCACACAAGATGCTCCGAGCACGAATCGAACCAACGACCAGCAGAGAGGAAGTCTCCAAGGCTAAAGGAGAGGCTAACCGCTACACTACCAGAGCCTTGGATTATGGGCGTTTTACATATATATATTATCCATCTAAGTGAGCATGCAGGGCCCCTGAGCGGGCGATTCTAATACAAAACATCCGTAAAAACTTTCATACAGTAATTAGAAGCCTATCTATGTATATTTCCAGGATCTACATAGACCGGGCATCTCAGGTATGCGCGTGCAGCGTCGCGGATTTTCGGTGGTGCTAGTAGCGGCTAGACGCCGCCATGCGAACTCGAAGTCGCGGCGGAGCCGCGAGGTAACTCGCTTACGTATGCCGGATCTTTCCGCGGCGTCACTTTGTTGGGAGGATTGCATTTTGGCTTGAGAATGGGGGGGCGTTACTCACTCCCAGGCATGATATTGATAATGATATTGAGCGGAGTTTCAATCCAGAATAGGAAGGTTCACGTGGCTAGTGGCGACGCGGAAACTACCTTGCACAGAGCTTACAGAACATGGAAACTGTTAAAAAGACCTAAAAGACCTATAAATTGAAATATGGCGAGGTCTATAATACATTCCGTAACCTTCAGCTGGTCAGCGTGTGCATACCGTGCCTGCTGTAAGAGCGACAACATTGCTGGAGCACACCGGATTTCGCTGAACTGACTTGGATAGTTCGTACTCCGCTCAATATCATAGGTGATCCATAGGACGAGTTACACCTCGTAATAAAACGAGAAAAAAATTGGTATAGTGTTTATAACACCTTATGTATCTAATGGATGAGATGTATGAGGATAAGCTGTGCAGCAGAGCTTCATAGGAGGCATTGCACTTTCAGCCACCCTTGATATCGAGCGGGGTTCTAACCGTGGGAAGCATCGTGTCCGCCCTCTCGCCTTCCCGCTCAGAGCACCTCGAGGAGAGTTATGGAGCACTTTTCTAGTGATATTGAGTGCCAGAAACATACTGTTGTACTTAGGCAGCTTATTTCTCCCCTGGCTTTCCAGCCTCCGGCTTCTGTGAAGCTTGGGCACTGGTCTGTTGCCCGGTTGAAGACCGGGAGGAAAAAATGGAAATTAAGAATTATGGAATGCCTTGATCATATAGATTCTGAGTTCCTTAAAATACCATGGTATTGCGAGCTCGAAGGCGAGGTACTGAACACTACCAGTCGCAGTGGACTACATCCGGATATGCCACATGGCTCTTTGAGCCAATCCCCTTTTTCCTTTTTTCTTTTTCTTTTTCTTTTTATTTTAGTGCAGTGGTATCATTATCGTGCCAGAATGGGCGGGTCTCAAAGGATACTCACTGAATGCAATGATTGTAGTAAATGCAGCGTTGGGCCAGAGAGGTTCACACGAGAAATCGGGAGTGGCTGCATGTCGAAGCCGGCAGCGAGCGAGGATTCGTCCATCCTATCAAAAAATTGTTCAGACGGTTGCGTGCGGCGTCCCTTCAGCAAGAGCCTTCCAAGAGATACTGCTTGGCCACCGATCTGAAATGTCGGGCAACCATGCTGAACATTGTTACGTTGTCAAGCGCTCTTGCGACTCTCGACATGCTTCCGCAACGAAGCACCATTATCCTGTACCCGAAACACAGGCTCTGCGTCACTGCGATAACCTCGAGACACGTCTCGCAGCCAGGGATGAGTAGGTCTCTAGCCAGTCCATGACTGGGGCAACTTCAGCGTCGCCTTCTGCCATAAGAACTCGAGAAGCGCGCGCAGGATGCAGAGGTTTAAATTCCTGATCACCTGCCGTCTGGAGTAGAGCTGGTCTTTAACAAAGATATCGTCTCTACAAGAAGACCCCGTGAATTCAAGTAGTATCCACGCAGTATGCCGACAAGTCTCCCTCGCACCACAACACCAAGGTCGTCGATCCATTCAAACTCAATCCATGAGCTTCCGCGCACTACCAGCTCCTTCCGGCTGGGGCGGCCTTGGCGTTTGGTGGAAGTGGCCTCAGTCGGTCCGGGATGAAGTGTGACAGACGCACTCGAGCCACAGCGTGACTTGACGAGACACGTGCTGTGCCACATTATACATTGTCGCGAAAAAGTATGCTTTTATGCAAAAGCCGTTACCGAGCCGTTACATGAGACAGGAAAACTGTGGCAAATGTGCGCTTATAAGTATTGATCGTGAAGCTACGCGAGACAGCATGTCGCTCTATTTGTTAGACGACGCCCGCGCGGCGTTCAGCATATCCCTTAACCCGCTAATCATCTTCTTCCCGGACTCAGATGTCCTCTCCATATATACGCTGGGCTTGTGCGTGCCCGGTGGATTCCGTGCGGTGAACATGGGAGTGTATATGCGCTGCATATCAGCGACCTGATCATCCGATCCTGGGTCCTGCCCGCTGTACGCCATAGAACCAGGATAATGCGGGTTCGGACGCGTCAACGACGGCCTGTTGAAGGCAACAGCTTCGGTGTTGACCATGGTCCCATACATCCCGTCACCCTCCTGTCCCCCCACCACGCTAGGGGCGCGGATGAGGTTCACCTTGGACAGGCGGAGCTGCGTCCTGCCCGCCTCGGGGTCGCGAGGCGAGCCGTCCGGCAGGGCGAGCACCTCGGTCTTTCCATCTGCGTGCCGCGAGCCCACTCGCGTGAGCATGTTCGCGAAGGACGTGACATACCCGATGTTGTCCTTCCGACTCATGGCCTGGGGCCCGTCGTCGCGCTTCATGCGGAGCATGCGACCTGGCAAGGCAGGGGTAAGGAATAAGGTGGAGAGGCGGGTGTTGTGGCTGTAGCTGACGCCGGCGTATGGATGTGGCTCCTGTAGCAGAGTTTTGGAGGAAGACACGTTGACCTCCTTCTTGATATGCTCCTGAATGAACTCCTTGTGGTAGATGAGGTCTCTCTGCGCCTGCCTCAGCAGGTCGGGCACAACCATCCCGAGCTCGGCCTTTTGCTTCATGTACCTCTTGAACTTAGGGCGCATCCTCCGCAATCTCTTGAGGAACAGGTCAAACTGCTTCTCGGACATGGCCTGGATGTTCGGCAGGATGGGCGCCTTGTTCTGGATAACTGGCTCGCCTTTATCGCTCTTGCCAGGCTTCTTCTCCTGCACGTCGAACTCAGAGTCGACTACCCAGTTTGACCGCGCAAGCCCCAGCCTGGAATCCCAAGTTCGCGGGTCCTGTGGGTGGTCCGCCTGGCCCATAAACTCCACCCCCAGCTCTTGCCATGCCTTTATCCACCGCGCCTGCTTGTCCGCATAATTCCACGCCGTCTGCTGCTCGCCCGAGTCGAACTGCGTCACTGTAACGTGCCTATTGCGCTTTTTGACTGGTAAAGGTCGCTTTAGCCCGAAATTGCCGCGGTGAGCATTGCCGTCGTATGCAGTGTAGACCTGAGCGATGGATGGATCAAAGGACGCAAATTTTGAACGCCTTAGGAGGATCCCGAAAGGCGAGGTTTTGGACGGTCCAGCAACTGCTGCCGCCATAGAGGATGTGTGCACCAGGCGTTCCAGTCCTGAACGCACTGCGGTACGCTGAAGTGTTAAGTGACTAAATGCGGATTTAATTACTTTGTCATTTAGCTGCTCGTCAAAACCTTATCTTAACTGAATGCCAGTGATAACTCTTGGAACTGTTGTGAACAAGTCGCGTATGGCATATTGAATTACTACCTACTGCCTGCAGCACACAATAAACTACCCTACTACATAATCACTCTCAACCTACTACAAATCGTACGCATAGGCATGGTTCACATATGAGATAGCAGGGGCCGCTAGCGGCGAGGCAAACGTAGCACTCGCGGTGTGGCTACACGTACAAAGCCCGACGGGCCACTAGAGCCGATAGGATGTCGTACCAGTAAAACGGCTGGCATAGAATGTCAAGCTTGGTGGGCTGGAGTACCTCTGCTGAGGAGGTAAACCGCCGACCGGACGTCTTGCAAGATGCGGGGCGGAGCGGCCGGCTCGGAGAAGACGGTCTGTTTGGAGTGCCTGTCTCTCCGGAACAGACGGAAGGATATGATTCCCTCCGGCTGTAAGTCCAGCTTAGTATACGGTGACGCCCGACTGCGAAGCAGAGTACTGAGACTTCATGTCGTCAAGATCCGCAGTCCCGTCCTGGCTCTTGTAGTCATACCCAGACGTGCTGCCCATGTCGGACGCGCCCGCAACCGACGAGAAGGACCCGCGCCGGCGCAACCTGTCAGACTGGGAGTACGCAATGCTGCTGCCGCCGCGCTCCGAAGGCCCGATGACGCTTGCACTATCAGCCATACTCGCAGCGCCGCCTGCGTCCTGGGAGATGATCGAACTGGCGTAGCTGCCGTAGGTACTGCGCTTCGCGCCAGTGCCTGCGCGGGGCATGCCAGGCCCGAAAGGTCCGCTGGCGGCGAACATAGGCAGACCCGAGGAGTACGTCGCCTGAGACCGGAGGGACTGGACATCGGAAGGGATGTAACCGAAGGCGTCGTGGGTGCGATAGAAGCTGGCGTCAAAACGGCTTGGAGTGCCAGAGCGGGTACTTTGACCAGGGAGGTAATCACGCGCGCTGGTTTCATGCCTGCGATATTGATCCGTGGACTTGACCAAAGACTTTCTCGGCTTGCTGAATTGTATCATACTTGGCTGCAAATTGTTGAGGGGACCCTCGACGAGACAAACCTTCTCCTTGTAATGTGTCAAGAGGTAATGCCAAAGCGGGTGCTACGGCTCTATTATCAGTGCAAGTCCACGGCGCAGACAGTCCTAAACGTACCTTGCTCAAGACCTTGGGATTACCAAGAATCACGACGCCGTACTTGGCACGTGTCAAAGCAACGTTCAGCCGACGAGGATCGTTCAAGAACCCGATCCCCTGGTGCTCGTTGCTCCTCACACAACTGAGGATAATATAATCCTTCTCACGTCCCTGGAACGCATCAACACTCGCCACCTCAATCTCCTTATACAAGTCCTTCTTCAGCGACCCACTGAACTGCATGTAGTTCACGATATACGACCTCTGCCCTTCATACGGCGTAACGATACCGATCTGGCCGGGCACCACGCCAGACTTAAAGAACTTCGTGACGATC